AAAAGTCAAACTTTGACTTTTTGGTCAAAATCAAGTATCAAAGATCACAATTCATCAAAACATGTCAAAATATGAAACATGTTCATCAAGAAATCAAAAAGTCAAGATTTCATTTTGAAAAGTCAAAATTTCTAAACTTAGAAATTTTTCTAAGTGTTTGAAAATTCATATTTTTGTTTACAACTTTGAGCCAATTTTTCACCATGATGCAAGATGATTCAAAGGAAACTTTCAACATGAAAGTTGTAGATATCAATTAGATCTAAAATATTGTATAACACAACTTCTCATAGAAATGCATGTATTTCAAGTTATGATTTTGTGAATACATGTTCATGAAACTTGGAAACTTAGTGAAATTTTGCCTTAGTTTAGGCAGAATTTTGACCTAACTTCATGACAATTTTTCACATAGTTCCAAGAAGAATTTTCAAAAATGACCAACATAGAGGTTGTAGAGGATGTTATAAGCTTTCCAAAATATCAAATAACTCATTGAGATCATGTTTGAGCAAAGAGAATCGAAGACAAGAAGCTGAACATTCATTCTTGAATTATAAGTCATTTCCATGATGAACAAGAATTCAAATCCAAACCTAGGCTGCATAATATTTGCTTTGCAGACCTCAAACTTGTTTGTCACTCCATAATTAAATGTTTACACAACTGTTAGAGCTTTGATCTAAGCATTTGAGCCTTTATCCAAGTTACATTTCCATTTATGGCACAAAGTTACCATTCCATTCTTGTAAAGAGGATTTAATCACAAAGTCAATGCATAGAGCTTTGCACTTGTTCCTTCTGATCACAAGCAATGTCAAAGGAAAAATCAACATGTCTAGAGCCTCCCATAAACTCAGGCCATGATTGTACTATGCCTTGAAACCATGTTTTCACTTTTCTTCAAAATCAAGTAACATGACCATAACTCTATATCTTGTGCTTCTGACCACCTCAACTGCACTAACCTCTTTCATATAACCATACAAGTTGTTTGCAAGCAAGGACACGAATACACAAGCTCTAAAACTCCCCCAAACTCAGATATGCATCACAAACCACCATTGTTTCACATTCTGACCAAGAACTTCAAACTTCCATTTCCCTCGTGCGTTTCTTGGTCTTTTTAGTTTCAAAAGCTTCCTCATATCAAATACAAATTATCCCTATCCCTGTTTGCAGACTGTAACATCATCTTCATTAACTTCCAAGTTCAAAAATAGAGCATTGCAGTTGGACTTTTCCAGACCATTCCAGCCACTCTCAGTTCAAGCCAATCATTGCATTAACTTCCTAGAAGTTCAAGGAAGCTAACCTGATCATCACCATCACTTGAAACAAGCTCAAACTCATTTCACGATTTCCAGTTTTGAGGTATTTTTCTTGAACTTATATCTCACTATTTAGGCATTGTTAGGCTTGCATTTGTGAAGGTAAAATGTATACACCATTGCCCTGAAACTATACATGTCCATGGATTTCATTTATGTTGTTTGAGTAGACAGAATTTTGAGTTTGAACCTCTGAAAATATTTAGGTCAGAATTTGGTACTGTTAGAAATTCATGCTCATCTTTAAGAATTAGCTTAAGTTATTTACATATTCAGAATCGTGAGAAGATTTCTAAAAAGTTTGATGTTGGAAGTTTTGTGAATGAATGAGAATTGAGTAAGTTACAGATCCTTTGGCTAGAGGTTGAAGATGGAGTACAGTCAGAACAAAACTTGTATCATATATTTATTGTTGTGTACAAGTTAACAGATGTATCACCACCCCAGTGGTTAGAGCGCGCGTCTGTCATCCTTAGGACCTGGGTTCGAGCCCCAACGTCTATTTTTTTTTCTTTTCATATTTTCTGTTTTTTCTCTTTTTTGTTTGTATAGCGCTTGGGCCTGTCCCCTTTGAGCTTTTATTTTTTTCCTAACTCCTAACCATTGTTTGCTCATACACTCTTGGCCCCTTATTTTATTATTTCATTTTTTCCTTTTTTCTTTATTTCATTTTTATCTTTCATATTATTATTATTATTATTATTATTTTATCATTATTATTTTTATCATTATTATTTTTATCATTATTATTTTTATTATTAAAAAATACAAAAATACAAAAAATTTATTTATTTACACTTATATTTTTTTCTTCATAAAATAAAGAAGACCAAAATATTTTCTTTTAACAAATTAATTCCTTTTTTTTAACAATAATTAATGTTTAGACTTAGGTTAATTATTACATTATTTTCTTGTAAATTAAAATTAATTTAGAACTTAGGTTTCTTTTTAATTAATCAATTATCATGTTATTTTCATTATTTAAAACCTTTTCATAAAAAACCCTAAAAAATCATTTTAAATTAATTTTTTTTCTTAATTAGTTTAAGTTCATTTTAATTAATTTTCATTAATTATTTTCTCAATTAGGTTTAGGTTAAAACCTTTCATAAAATCAAACAAAATCACTTCTTTATCCATTTGCATTTTTGCATTTTTAATTATTCAATTCTTGCACATTTATTCAATATGGTTGTAATAGTTAATTAGATTTAATTGTCTTGCAAATCCCCCATTTATAAATTTGTACATCCCCCTAATGATGTAATAGCTTAGTATTTTTATTTTCCGCAATTTAACGCTTTATATAAATGCTAGTAAATTAGGGTTTGTATGGAAAGATAAAATCAACAAGTTAGCAAACCCTAATTCAAGACAAAACAATGCATGTAAATCAACACACTTGCACACTTACACCTTTAGGGTAATTCTACTTTGTTGTCTTACAAAAATGGTCATTTTATGCATGTGGGGTATCTTAGCAAAAATCAATCAAAAATACCAGATCATAGTCACTCGATGACGCTATCAAATGTTGCCTTTCAAAATGATCTTAGTCCCTCAAAGAGAATTGCTAAGATATTTCACAACATTGTTATCTTGACTATACAATGACCCATGCCCGTCCCTTTACATTCAAAGATAAGGCTTCTTACCAAATCAATGGTAAGATAGCAATATCAAAGGAAAGGAAGAAATAAACTAAGACTTTTGAGTAGGTAGATTGTTCCTAGTTGCTTGCTCAATTTCAAATCAAATACTCTTGCTTATTTTCAAAACAAATACCAACCTTTCAAAAATATTTTCAAAACACTTTCCAAACTTGAAACATTTTCAAAAGATCAACACTTTGTATATGTTCTTACGAACGAAAACTATTCCAAAGTTTGCCTAAACGATGACGTATTTTCAAAAAATCACACAAAACACATTTTTCAAACAAAAGCAAGTGATATAGCAAGCAACTAAAAGCCCATATATAACTATGGATGAAAAGGGTGTTAACACCTCCCCTTTTCATAATCTACCCCCCGAACTCAAGAAACAACCTCAAAGGTCTTTCCTGTTCTTTTCAGCCTTTCCTTTTGGATAAAAGAAAAATCGATGGCAACTCTTGCTAACCGCAACATTTGCGATAAAACACAAAACACTCGAGTCATTTCTCCCACCGTATCACACACTGATTCAGCATCACTCAACTTTTCAAAATTATATGAATCAACACATTGATGAATTATAAATAGAACTTTATAATTCTTCTTCAATTCTTTGTGTGCAACTTTTTATTCATCTGTTGCGTCTTCTTCAAGCGGTGTTACTTCTTCTTTCACAAGATCCCTAAGATCTTGATAACATAAAATAACTTTCATCTCTTTACACCAATTCTCATAATTCTGACTCTTCAAAATTGAGAGACTCGTCGAAAAATATCCATTCGGATGATTCATTGCCATCGAATTTCGCTTTCCACGAATCGCTCAGTCATTGCTTTAAATACCAGATGTCGAAATCATGTCGAGCAACCTGCTTCGACATTTTGACACACACACAGTAGACTAATTTTGACACACCCTTATTTCTGTCGACCAAACCTGCTTCGACACAAGGAATTACCTTCTCAACAACTTTCATCACTTTCACCATTTGCCATAATTCTTCACATCAAGGATGGATAAGTTTGCAAAAATTCTTTCATTGGAGACAAAATTCATGTTGCACACTAGATGTTTGGTGGATCTAACCAGACTCTTGATGACAAATGTTAAAATTTGAAATCATAAGGTTGAGAAAAATGGAGTAATTGAATGTTGAGAGAGAGATAAAGAGAGTATAATTGAGGGTGAGAATTTGCATTAACATTGAGTTAGATACCTCTTGAATATATGTACCAATTAAAATGCAACACAATGGTAACGGATTACCAAAACGCAGTAATCGATTACACTAGTTCAAACATACAAAATAACAACAGTTGCAATGGGTTATCAAAACGCAATAACTGAATACAACACTTGAATCATGTGATTTATCACAACATATATGCAAACAAACCATCCATAACAACATCATCGAAATAAAACAATTTAGTCAGAATTGTATCAGTCTGCCACTACACTATATAATTTATTCTAAATATACACCCCAATATATGGCAAAATACCACTCAACAAATATGATATTGAGTCCAATTTTATGTACTTCCACAAATGGTTGAACACTATTTATAGCATGCAAGAACAAGTTAATTTAGAAGGAAGATGCATTCGAAAGACATAGAGTTGAAAACTAAAAAGTGCCTCAGTGTAACATTAACCGTCTTATAGACTTGCTTAACAAATTTTTAAGACAAATAAAACATCTAAACAAAACGGTATGTCAAATATGCAAATGAGACCCTTTGTTACAAATAGAGAGATTAACCTCTAGAATAGAAATTTCATTTCTTCCAAAACACTAGTAATTCATAGAGGATGCTAATATCGGCTCTCTCAAATTTTACAATCTTCAAGACAATGTGGATAATATACTCTAAATACCAATAAAAATACGATGTATTAATGACTAAAACTGTACAAATTAACACACATATTCCGTCATTTCATTAATTGAATTGAATTGCTCACCATACTCAAAATTCTTTGAAACATATATAGTACAGTTGATTTGTCATGAACCAGTATAAGATCTTGTTCTTCTACTTATCTCTTTCTCCAGCTCTTCTAGTCCTCCTACCTCTTCAACTTCCTGCACATATTTTGACACACGCTGTGTTATTAGCAACCACAAAAAGCATCCAAATTTGGCTACAAACACATGATTACGTAATCGATTATCAACTCATTGGATGTCGATATCTCTCAAAGTGTCGCGTGATGGGACATCAATGTTGGAATCCAGACGAAATTGAAAGAACTCTACTTCTAAGGCAATGTGTGACACATGTCCAACTTATAAGATACAAGATACATGGCCAAAAGAACGGTAAGGTGAATTATTTTACCATAGAAGAAGAGGATTATGATGAAGAGAACCAATCCTTCTCATACAATGAAGAAAATGGTGATTAAGAAAAGATGTTTTAAACTACCTTACATGTCCTAAGATTCATCAAATTCTGCCAAAGAAGTGATCTCTGCTTCAGTTCTTCATCTTTACTCAGCCACAATGCAGAGGTGTCTTAAGTTTTCAGAGGCCGTGCATTAGTTAGTTATTGTTCAACCGTGACAAAATAAATTGGGGACCTATTTAGTTATGATTTTACCATGTCGGATATATTATAAGGCTCTACTTACCTACAATTTTATTCGGAAAAATTCGAGGGCATGTGTTGTAGGGCATCTTACACACCCTCAAAGAGGGCCATGTCCAAAAGATTCCGTGACTCTAACTGGTGCTATAAGTCAAGTGCTCTCTATGTATCTAATCTATAATGTTATCCAAATTACTTTTTTTGTTGACTATTTCAAAGTATTTCTGTGGCTGATGAAATGAATTCTTGAGTCGACAGTATTTTCTTTTTTACAATTCTAAAATAGTTAAATGAACATCTAAAAAAGCCTAGGAAAATCGAATACGAAAATGTCTGACCTTTGGGCCCAAAAAGAGCCCGTATGGCACTCCTTTGAATTTGTCCGAGTGATGGAGCTGCAAACAAAGAAACAAAGTCAAAGTCACAAATCAGATCATATAATCAGCACTATTCAAGCAATGATTAATATTAAAACAACAGTTAATTATTAATTATTACTTGGTGAGCAGCAGCAACTCTTGTAAAGTAAGGCACATTAGCAATAGGACCTACAGGGAATCTCTTATGAACCAATCCATCATGAACAAACATGTAGGCAATCCCAAACACTGTAATCCCAAGACCCTACTCCAAAGATAAGGATGTCATTTTCACTAAACAGATCCTAATGAAACCGTTAACTAAGGGATTAATAAAAGTAAATTATGAAATATAAACTCACTGCACCAAAACAGAGCCCAGGAACCAATCCCTTGTTGAAAAAACCGTATGAGAGAAGAGCAATTGCAGGAACAGCGTTAATTATTGCAAAAACATCATTAAGCTCAAATGGACCTTCTCTAGGTCGATGATGTGACTGCAAAAATTCAAATTCATCTTTGGTTCAATACTAAGATGCCATCAGAATCCTACCAGAACTCCATAGTTAAGTGTATTTGGACGAGAGTAGTACTAGAATGGATAAAGTGAACATAGGTTGAAACATGGCATGTGAAAATAGAGAAAAAGGGGAAGACTAGACCTCATGCATGTGCCATAAGGAAGCATGCCATAGAACCTCATGAGCCCATCTTGCCCAAAACTCCATACCCACCTGAAAAATCAAACATACCCAATTGAAATCAACATCCAAAACTGCACAATTTAGTTTTCAATCTCTGAATTGAAAAAGAATCCAGACTTACAGCAGCACCCACTGAGAGTGCAAATGTGCCAAACATTTCAGACCATGGAACTTCTCCACTACCCTACTCAAAAATGAATGTTTTAGTTGAAAGTAAATTAGAAAGAGTCATCATCATCATCATCATCATCTAAGTTAGAGGAATTTAGGTACCTCCATTTGCCATGAAAATCTATAATAAACTGCTAAGATAGCCATAGAGGTAACACCAAAGCTAGACATTACAGCGGCAACTAGGTAAGTGGACCTTTGTGACTTCTTTCTTGCCAGTTTTTGTGAAAGTGAGAATTGAGGGTTGGGTTTATTATTGGGGAGTTCTGTTTTTTCTTCTGTGTTGATTTGGGTTGTGTGTTTTGGGTCCTCCATTAGAACACAAACGGTGAAGGGTGATGTTCTTGAATTTCTTTGGGTTTTAAGGAGTGTTTTATGACGAAAGGTTGTTAAGGGGGTGAAGAATATTGTTGAGGTTGTTTTAGGGGAAGAGGTTTGGAGGAGATTGTAGGGCTTTAAGGTTGTGGCGGTTGAAAGTTCTACCGCCATGGAAATGAAAGGTTAGTGCTAGGAAAATATGAGAGAGAGAGAGAGAAGAAGAAGATGAAGGTGTGAGTTACACCAATGGGGTGGATTGGATAAATATGAACCACAACTTTGTAGTGTGAGTGCTGAGTGTGAAACAACAAAAACAATGAAATCAAATAGAGGAGGTGGAGTGATGGTCGGTATATTTCAAATACAAAAACTACATAGAAACTAAATTATTCAAACTAAGAAATTTTAATATGTTTTATGACATTCCATTTAATTTCATCACATTTCATTAATTCAAACAAAATTTTAATGCTATAAGTTATTTGAATTAATTTTTAAAAAAATTATAAATTAATATAAATAAATTATAAACTCGTGAGAAAATGTCCCTTACAAACAAATTTTTTAAACAAAAGGAGAAGTTTATTGCAAATTTCAATTTGGTCAATTTGTAAATAGAAGGTCATAAATGTTATATCATCTCTTATTATTTTTACACTATCTCGACTAATATAATTAAGAATGTTTATGTTAGATATTTTATTATTATTATTATTATTATTATTATTATTATTATTATTATTATTATTATTATTATTATTATATTGTATAAGGGTAGTTTAATATTTTTCTAGCAGTTAATATTTATATTCTGGTGTAACCCTTACTCTTTAGTTTTTATTCATTCTATTGAAATCCTAAGTTAAAGGTCTTTTTCCTTCTCTATATTTTTATGTGTTTATTAATATTATTAACATGGTATCAGAGCCGGATTAAAGACTGTAATGTGGACATTTGATCCAAGCCCACATTAGATGTGAGGGTGGGTGTAGAAGTTGATAGTTGTGTTGTTAGAGTTTGTTTAAAGTCCCACGTTGCTTAGGTTCTCGGGCTGTTGAGTGTATAAATATGTGAGGGCAACTTCACCATATGAGCTAGCTTTTCGGATTGAAATCCAAGCATATTTAATGCAACTGTAAAAAGAGTATGAATAATAGTCATCTTAACAACAGGAGCCAAAGTTAAGACCACTTATCATGGTCGTATTTTACTCTCATTATATGTTGATGATATGATTATTACATGTGATGATATAGATGAAATTAATGATTTGAAGTTACAGTTAGCCAAACAGTTTGAGATGGAGGACTTAGGAATTCTTCGGTACTTCTTCGGCATTGAAGTTGCTTACTCTCCTAGAGGTTATCTTCTTTCTCAATCCAAGCATATTGCCAACATTCTTGGACGCACTCGCCTTTCTGATACTAGAGTAGCAAATAGTCCTCTTGAGTTGAATGTGAAATATGCTACATCTGATGGCGTTCCTCTGCCAAATCCTACCTTATATCGTACTTTGGTTGGCAGTCTAGTGTACCTTACAATTACTAGACTAGATATTGCTTATGTTGTTCATGTTGTTAGTCAGTTTGTTGTATCTCCTACTACAGTGCATTGGGCAGTGTTCTTCACATATGTTATTATCTTCGGGAAACCCAATTTCAGAGCCTTCACTTTCCCTCATCGCCCTCATTAGAACTACGTGCTTATTCTGATGCTAATTGGGCTGACGACCCCACAGATCGTAAGTCTACCACATGGTTTTGTATCTTTCTTGGAGACTCTCTTATTTCTTGGAAGAGTAAGAAACAAGATAATGTCTCTCGTTCTTCTATAGAAATTGAGTATCATGCTATGGCATCCACCACTACTGAAATAGTTTGGTTGTGTTGGTTACTTTCTGATATGGGGGTCATTCTTTCTGAACCAACTCCCATGTATTATGATAACAAGAGTGTGACTCAAATTTCCCACAACTCGGTCTTTCATGAATGTACCAAACACATTGAGATTGATTGTGAGTTCACTCTTGTTGTACCCCAAAATTTTCCCTCTCATTTCATCAACACTTTCTCATCACAAGACTCTTGGAGTTCAAGATCAAACTAGGGTTTGCTCTGCTCAAGACCCCTCTTTGCACTGTTAACCCAAATTAGGGTTTGAGTTTGCACAAGGATGTTTTGACTTAAAATGCCCAAAGTGACTTTCATACTTCATGTTGGATTCACAGGTTAGCCCATACCAAGTTTCAAGCCTTGATTCAAATCTTTGCCCAGTCAATTGGACAGTTGACCTAGAAATCAGTTGTATTGGGGAAAAAGTCAACTGTGGCCAATTGACAGTCAAACCTCATGAAATTTGGCCCACATCAATATTATGAACTCATATGAACTATTTGATCAAGTTTGGACCACAATTCCACAAGAAATTTGATCAGATCACTAAAAGGGCAAAATGGTCATTTTAAGGGTTTTGACTGCACAAAGGCTATTTTTGACTGTCTGACCTAACCAATGGCAAATCAAGCTCACACATGGACTCAAGGACTCAATGACATTGTCTTGACCCATTCAACAAGTTCAAAAGATCTCAAATGCATAGGATTGACAGATGAATTTTTCAGTCAACTGATCAAAATTTGACTGTACACTGAAAAGTCAAACTTCGACTTTTTGGTCAAAATCAAGTGCCAAGGGTCATTTTTCATCAAGACATGCCAAATTATGAAACTTGTTCATCAAGAAACCCAAAAATGCAAATTAGGGTTTAAGATGGAAAAATTTCATAACTTAGAAATTTTCGAAGTTATGAAATTTTCTTATTTTTTCCCAACTTTGTCCCATTTTTTCATCAAGATGGAAATGGATTCAAACAAAACTTGAAACATTAAAGTTGTAGTCCATTGCAAAATATACAACTTTGATTCACAAAGTTTTCCAAAAGGAAGCTTTCATCTCAAGTTATGATTTTTGGAACAAGGGTACCAAAAACTTTTAACTTAGAAGAAATTTGCCCTAATCTAGGCAGGATTTTGACCCATCTTCTTGGCCATTTTTCACATAGTTCCACTTGGAGTTTCAAGTTGCATTACAAAGATGGATTGTAGTACATGTTCCAAGCTTTCCAAATTATCCAAGAACTCCTCAAACACCCTTGTGGTTAGAGAGAATCGAATTCACAAAGATGGCCAAAACTCACTTTTGTTCATGACCAATACATGCTCATAGCAAATTGCATTTTCAAATCAGCTTGGTTTATGCTAGCTTGCAGGCCTCAAAACCAACTTACACTCCATAATTTAATGCCTAACCATTGTGTTAAGGTGTTATTTCATCCATTTGGGCATTACATGTTAAACTAATCCTTAATTAGACAAAGCAAAGTTCCCATTTTTGGCCTAATGTCACTTTATGTCAAAAATGAATCCTTGAGACATGGGGCCAGATTGAGTCTACAAATTCCAGTTACCAAGAGCAAAAGTTGCAGCATACTTGAGGGCATTGTACAGGCATGTATTGACACACACATCTTTTGCTTCACATAGAAGAAACACTTGCAAAATACAACCAACTCTCATTTCCTGTCAACACAGCCAAAAACAAACTTTGTGAACAACTTCCATACATCAAAACAAGCCTGAAACACGACTCAACCATCCCTCACACCTCCTAATACCCAGAATCCCTGTTTTGCTGCAAAATAGGGCATTCCCTGCAGATTGAGTTGCACAACTTAGTTTGCTCGTGCGTTTTGGCCTAAACAAGTTCAAACACATTCCATACCATCCACTTGAACTATCCCAAACCTTAAACACCAGCTGTAACACCTCTAACCCCATTTTCCATTTTCATTTTCAAGCTTTGCAGGTGGACTTCTACAGCACGATACAGGGTGTTTCAAAGCAAGCCAGGTATTGGAGAGGCTTCCTTGGACCTCAGGCAAGCTCTACAGAAGCTCAAACTCCATTGAAGGTTGCTACATTGCTCTACTCGATTCAAGATGAAACAGGTAATCCATGGACTTCTATCTCTCTATCTAGGAAGAGTTAGGCTTAGGTTTGTGAATAAAACATATCCTACTCATAGCCCTGAAGCCATACATGTGATCAATTTTCATTTATGTTAAGCGTGCTGTGAGAATTTTAGCCATGAACATGTGAAAAAAGTTAGGTTAAAAATTAGGGCCAGAGAAATTCTCTCTGGTCTTTGAGAGTTAATCCAAGTTTTTTACATATTTGAATTCGTTATTTGATGCTCTACAATGTTTATGTTATGAGTTTTGTCAAAAAATCAAAGAATCAGGAGTTGGTGTTTGAACAAGGAGGCGTGCGCATTTTGTGTCAAATAGAAGCTGGAGGTTGAAGATGATGGCTTAGGCTGGGTCTGAGTCATCCTTGCTTTTTGCACCCTTTTTTTTTAGTTTGCACCCCCCTGGCCGAATTGATTGAATACTTGTCATTTTTGTGTTTTTATTTTTTATTCTGACTTTATATTTTTTGCTCAAACATAAAAAATGCTAAAAATATTTTTCCACATTTTTTTTTATATTTATTTGATATTTATTTACTTTATTAGGCATATATGTATTAATAAACCATTTTTCTTCCTTTAATAAAACTTAAAAAATAATACAAAAATATATTTATTTTTCAGTTATTATTTTTATTTACATTTTGAAAATATTTTCTTAAATATACATTTTTTTATATACAAATAATTATTTTTACCTTTTTATATTTAATAGGTTTAAATATATATATATATATATACTTGTATATTTTATTTTATTAGATAATTAGGATAAAAATATAGAAATAATATATTTTTATTTTTATTAATATTTGACACTAAAAATACTTTTTCTTAACAATATACTTTTATTTTTGCATAAATTAATATATATTGTATATAATTAATAAATATTACGATTTACTTAAAAATTAGGGTTTTGCCCTAAATAACAAAAATAATTAAAATTAACTTTTTTTATTTTGTTTATGTTTCACATTAAAAAATACCCTTTTCATATACATAAAAAAATTATTTTGTGCATAATACATGTTGTTTATTTATTATATTTATTTCAAGTATTGTACAATTAAATGTTGTAACCTATACATTCGATATGGTTGTAATAATTTAGATTTTATTTCCTTGTCAAATATCCCCAATGCA